AGGATGCGGGGTTGCTGAATCACCGATGTAGGCGAGCGAGATGGATCCGTTGGGCGTATTGGAGCCGGTGGCGAATACAGAAGGTACGAAGTAAAGTTCGAGGTCGTTCATGTGTGTCATTGTGATGCTGTTAGAGGAAGCGGACGTTATGCTCCATCCGTGGGCTTGTTCGAGGGCAGTGAGTTTTGCTAGTGCGCTGTTAGTGTAGTTCGCGTTCACAGAATGAGCATTACATACCTCTCAGACTGCTGACTTCGCTTGTAGACCAGCCGCGGCACTCCTCTCGTACACGTTCCGCTGCTTTGATCTCTTGGATGCATTCTACTTTGCGGTCCTTAGCTGCCTCTATGCGTGTTTCCTTGTCGGCAAGCTCTTGTTGCAGCTGGGCAAGAAGCACCTTCTTCTCTTCCAACTCGGCATCAGTAGCAGTAAGCTTCTCTCTCGTCTGCTCAAGCTCTTCCCGGTCACAGCTGTTGAGTTCATCATGACGCTGCTGTAGTTGCTTACACTCAGTGGACAGACGTTCCTTCTTCTCGACTAGAGGAGGCAATGTCTCGTCAAGAAGGCGCTCCTGTTTGATTAGTGTGGATTCGTCATGGTTGAAACCGTCCATGGTGTGGAGGAGCCCAGCTTTGAGATCGTGCAGCAGCGTGCTTCGCCATGTGTACCACTCTCCACGAGCCTCAAGGCGCGCGTTGGTCTTGAGGTTCTTGAACTGGTTGTCCATGACAGCGCGCTGGTCCGGGGGTGCAGTGAGGTACTCGCTGAAGAGCAATGGGTTCTCTTCTAGTACGTTGGCCTCCATAGTACGGACAAAGTGGCGACCGTCTGAGATATACTTCTTCATCTCGTGGCATGCATGCTGGTACAGCTCGTACTCAGGCAAGGTGCACGCTCCAGCCACAACGTAGCGATCTAGAGATTCCTCCTTTTCCTCCACTTCCACATCGTGGAAAGCGGAAGGAGCAGCAGTATGACGTCGCTTGGTCGTACTAAGATCCATGAAGCGAATCTTGGTCATGTCGAGGAAGTCTTGTAACGAAATTCGCTCAACATCCGACATATCTTCTGCCACGCCACCCTCGTCGTTATTCTCCTCCTCTGGCTCTTCACCAAAAACGACGCGCTTCATTGGGCTCATGCTTTGCCTGAGATTTCCCTTCTTGGGTGTCGGTGTCGGCTGCTTCGGCGTTGGCTGCTTTTGAGGAGTCTGTGACTTCTTCGGTGTCATCCCCTTCTTCACTGGTGACATCAATGTCTGCTTTCGTGGGGTAGATAACAGTTTGATGCTGTTGCTTAGAAGTGCGGTACTCTTAAGCGTAGGCTCCTGACGTGGTGCATTCAGGGGACTGAATTGCACTGCAGATAAGGACGAACGACGTCGGTCAAGTATCGTAGCTGCAATGGGGTCCTCAGGAATCATCATGGGTGTCCTCTGTGGCGTAGGATTTGAAGGAGTCGCAACAGCTTCCTTCTCTTTGGTCGCACTCAGTGGGGTCCGGCGCACAAATGGCGAAGGCTCGACCTCCTCAATATCCTTCTGCCTGACGATCTCTGGCGTACCAGGGTCAAGGGTGGGATAGGCCACATCGCCTGTCGTACTGGGAGTGATGTCTTGCAGGACCTGAGGCGCTGATTCGGCCTCGGCCCCCAGAATGGAGCTCCCTCTTCGCCCAGGCGACTTCTTCGGGGACTTTCGCGGTGTCGGTGTTTTCGTTGCTGAAGCGGGTGTGTCATCTACAGGTGTTTGCGGTGTCGTTGTTGAGCTGCCGGCACGCCTGATACCAGGTCCAACGATTTTTGTGAACTCCATGGAAAGGTCTTCATCTTCGACCTCATCCTCCTGTTCTTCCAGTGCTTGTTGCTTGCCATTCTTAATGCTGCCCACAGCCAGTGTGAAGTCCATCGTCGCATCATCAGCGACGCTTCCAACACTGGGACGTCTAGCTGGCTCCGGCTGTGGCGCTTTCTTAATCGCTCCAATTGCCATTGTGAGGTCCATGGTCGCGTCTTCTTCGCCGTGCTCTTCGGATTGTCGACGCTGTCGCAAACTGGTACGCCGGCTTGCAGTGCGCTTTGCAGGGCTACCTTGGTTTTCATCGAGCAATGAGACCCTCCTCTTAAGACTCTTTCTCCTGTTTGCTGGTTTGTAAGATGCCGCCATCGCCTGTATGCTTCCAAGCGGCATAGTAAGGTCCATCGTCATGTCATCGTCGTCGACGTCTGAGCTCGCTGCATCTAAGCGTTGTTGCTGCTGCTGCTCTGGCTGCTTTTGTTGTGGTGGCGGAGGTACAATGCGGCCTACTGCGCGCGTGATGTCCATACTCATGTCGTCGTCCTCGCCTGCTACGGTGCGTGCTGGGGAGAAAAGAGGGCTGGCATTCTCCTTGTCATATTGTGCGACAAAGCTCTTCTTTGCCCAGGGCTTGAAAGATGCGGTAACTTCGTCTTGGGCGATCTCCATGCTCATGTCCCCGTCATCGTCGTCGAAATCCAGCTTCTGAGTGCCTGCCAAGTTTGCAGCCTCGCGTAGCGCAGCATCCAGTCGAGCGCTGCTCTGCGATGAGTCCTCAACATCAGGTGAAGCTCCTAGACTTTCTGTGGCATCATCGATATCCATATCCTCAGAGTCGCTGCTTCCGTCATCGTTTCCACCAGGCGAAGCATTGTCCCCGCTTAGCGGGCTTGAGGAGTAGACGTCGTCGGGGTTGTTGAAGTTCATCGGCGGTATGCCCGAACTCCGGCGGTTCTTCTTTTGGTGTTGCGCGCGCTGGCTTTCAGGCGACGAACTGGGCTCTGGTTGAGGCTCTTCGGCTTGTTCTGGTGGTGTAGACGGTGGCTCGGCGGGGTCCGATGGAGGGGCAGGCGATGCCGGTGTGGATGCTTGTGAGGCGTTCGAGGCTCTGCGTGTGGCCTCCGATGAGGCGGACGAGGTGGTCGCATCGCGCATGTACTCGACTACGTCCCATGTGTGTAGAGTGGCTTCCGGGGCGAAAGACACGCGTCGCCTTGCTAAGCATGTGTTAGTCAAGCCTACAGGTTGATTTTACGCTCGGAACACGTACCCAGCGACTTGCGGCGCGCTTCGCGCCGCTTCTTCTCATCTTCATCGTTTGAGGCTAGAATGGACTTGACGGCGGGGATAAACGCAGACTATTTGGTCAGCATTTACTCGTACAATCGCGTGTACGAAGCATACCTTTCTGCGGTTTCCAAAACTCTCCTTCAGCGGAGGCGCCTCCAATTCTCCCAGACCTCCAGGGCCGATACTCTTACTACGCGTCTTTTTCTTTGGTGATAATGCTGCTTTCTTCAGAGGCTGCGTCGACGCCTTGAACGAACCGTTCGCGATTAGGCCGTCGGCGATATTCTCTTTGCCTGCTTGCGCCATGGTGGAGTCGCGATTTGGTGTGTGGTGGTGGTGTTCGGGATGACAGCACTCATGTAAACATGGAAGGCGCCAACCCAAACAATGGGGTAGGAGGGCCCGTGCGCATTCGCCTGGTCTTGTGACAGCGCTCCCCGCGTCGTGCATGGCATTAAGAGCTGCACGTTCGCGGCCGTTTTTAGTCTATTGTCTATTGCGAGTCTACCTAAACGCCTCGCTCCTGCGTAGAAATCAACGCTCTCAAGACCTCTGAATATGTCTGCCTTTCAACATTAGAACGGCACATCCATATCCTCAACACTCTCCTCTTCCTTCTTTCCCCCACCCTGCTGTTCGTGCAAAACTTCCTTGATAAACCCAATCAACGCATTAACACTAGCTTTCTGCGTGCTTGGAAGGAAGTGACCCCCGGGGTGATACACAACGTACTTCTCCTCGCTGTGCTCGCAAGCCTGGACCAATGCCAGACTGCGCGCCTCCTCAACCACGACGTCCTGCGTACCCAAGAAATGCAGCATCGGTGTCTTGATCTTAGGCTCATAGAACGCGTGATAAGGGTTCTTCCCACGCGCTGCGAAGCCACTATAGCTGACCGCGAACTTCAGCGGCGGATGTATTGTGCCCTCCATGTACCCGGTGTCCTCTTCGAAAGACTCTGGGAACCTCATGCCGCCCTCAGGATACAGCTTCTCAAACGCGGCGCGACGACCTGGCTCGAGCAAACTCGCGACCATAGCTGCCGCTGCTCCACCTTGTGAGAATCCCACAACACCGTCAAAAGGACCTTGTTCTTTCAACACGCTTGCGATGCGCTCCAACCCTTGCTCCATGCCTTCGTATGTGTATGGTTCTCCTGTGCCTTTCCTCCTCCACCAAGCCCATGCGTCGATTTCTTGCTCCTCTCCATCCTTTGCGTCTTTGCCCTCGCCATCTTTACTCGTGTTTCCCGCTAGGAACGATTCGTCGGCGGGTGTTAAGCGAATCGGCGCAGTAGGGTATACAAGTTCGATGCCTTTGGGGAAGGCTTTTTGTAATGTCTTGCGCAGTGCGCCGGTCTTAGCTTGAAATAGTGACCCTGATTGCGTGTAGCCATGGAGCATCAGCAGCTTTATCGGGCGATCTGGGGGCGGGGCGGCGGCCATGGTGCGCCAATGGGACCTGACGCGGAAGTTGGCGAGGGTGTAAAGACGTGGGTCTGAAAGGGCGAGGAAGTGCTTGAAGCGCATGTACAAGATGCGCGGGATAGTAGAGCGCGGACTTGGCAGGGTAGCTCGTAGAAGTTGTGATGCTAGGGCTCGAAGTTTTGGGTGTTGCTTCGGAATGATACCGATTCTCGGGATGCCGATTGCGTCATGGGCTAGCGGAAGACGACCTGGGTACCTAGGTAATCACTCAAACTTACGGCGCGAAGACATGTTGCGAGCTATGCGGAACAGGTGCAGACTTAAGTGCGTAATCTATATACACGAGGATTCGAATGATTGCGACTGAATCAAACCAGAATACTAGATTATCACGACTCCATTGAAAGGCAGCAAGCTCTTTTGTCTGGACAAGTGGGACTCTTTCATATACCACTTCCTACGTCTACTTGATATTCACACATGCACGCTCAATCAAAATGACTTGGAGAGCGCGACGATCTGGACACACTATCGACCCCACTATCCTCCCCCGCATTCATGTACTTCCGATACGGGTTGGTAGATTTCGAAGTCCGTGAAGCCGCAGAAGAGGGCGCTGCTGACCTTCTTGATGCTTCAGATCGAGGAACAAGGAATTTGCTGACATCGCCAATATCGGACTGATCGGCATCGGAGCCTGCCGAACTGGGGCTCTTCTTGCCTCGCGTCTCTGCATCTGTGTCGTCGCAGACAGTCGAGTTCTCGCCCGAGTACACGGAAGGTGCAGAGTGCGCTGATGACGCATACGTGGCTGGATAGGCACTCAAAGGTACTTCGGGATCCTTGTCAAAATGCCATTGTAGCTGACGGTGGAGGCGCCGATAGTTGTTTTCTCTCATGAGGAACGATCGTTCAATCAGTGTCTCAATGTCGTTCTACTACGCATTAGTTTCGGGTTCACGGTAGCAAGCTGCATAGGTTCTTACATATGTCAATCTGCCGTCGAGAATATATAAACCCATATCGTTGGTCTGAAATTGGAAGCCAAGCTCGATCAGCGCATACTCTTCCACAAGGGCTTTCTGAATAGTGATAGATTCTTTGCCTGATGCTGTCTCAGATGGGCAAAACTGCGGTTCGTAGTCAGGGTCAAAGAAGTAGGTATGTATCGGTTGACTCCCTAGATAGTGAGTCTGACCTTTGCCTAGACAGTGTTAGTACATGGTTACCGAACTTTTGGGACACATCATTACCTGATATACGAGTGTAGGGTGTCCTCCATCCGGCTTGCCTCATGGTCAGCAGAAGTTCGCTTCCTAGATTAAGCGCGGACGACTCCCAAAAGATGGTACTCCTAACAATCTGGTCATCCGTGTTGTCGTAATTATATTGCATGAGTTGACTGGTTTGAAAGGGTTCGTCTTCAGCGTCTTCAAAGACAGATTCAATTCCAAACCCAGCCAGCGACTTTTGCAGCCTGTCCATCCTTTGAGAGCTTCGGTCGGCTTTGACAGGGAAGACGATCATCTGCTGAGACTGTGAGTTGCTTTCCAATGTGCCTGTGCTTCCCAGTGAAGTACGCGAAGCATGCATTGAGCTGATGGAACTGCGAAAGCTGTCACGACGAGAATTCCTTTGGGCGCGATCGCGATAGTTCGGCCTCATGTCCAGGCGCGCGAAATTTTCCAAGAATGGGGTGGAAGAAGATGCCGTAAGCGGAGCTCGTCTGCTTGTGGCATATTCTGTTACATCCACGCTGCGATTACCTGCCGCTATGCGAGTCCGTCTTATGGTCTGATCGTTATCTTGCTCTGAGCTCAATTGCTGCTCTTGTATTCCACGGAGTAGCTCTTCGTAGCGTTCCACTTGCAATTTGTGGACTTCATCGCTTCGTTGTCTTTCCGCTATGACCATGGCGTCAGCTCTTTTCCGTGCTTTTTTCTCGGCTTCCAGCTTCTCGGTGTTGAGGGCTGCTTGGGCTGCTTCCCTAGCCAACTGTGCCACTGAGATCTCTTTCGCTGCCAGATCCTTCATTTGTTGAGCTTGTTCAGCTGCTCTTGCTTCCATAGCCTTCCTTTCCTCATCCCACTTAACCTCCATGCGCTTTTGTTCTGCCCTTTGAAGTGCTACGAGACTTTCGAGCTGCTTCATCTTCTCCTCATCTTTCTCGTGGACGTCCTGCATTTGCTTCATGTACACCTCAGTTGTTGCATCTGCCCGTTCTCTTTCGCTTTGTACTTCGCGCTCCTGTAAGATCTTCGCCAGTCTTGAGAACGGAGGGTCTTCATACCCGATGGAGGGTTCTGGGTTGCGCTTCTCGAGTAATTTCTCCAGCCGAGCGAGAATCCCCTCCCCTCCAGCCTCATCCGATGGCGGTGGAGGGGGTGGAGGAGGTGGAGGAGGAGGCCCCATCATGAAAGGCATAGGTGGAGCTTGAGCTTGAGCTGGAGACGGCGGAGGGGATTCAAAGACTGGCTGATGACCTGGAGGGTGTTGTAGGTATGGATTAGATGCATGTGCTTGTCTCGGCGGCTCGGAAGGTAGTGGCACGTGTGATGTCTCCCGCAACCCCGGATAGTATCCATAATCGACAGGGGGCTGAGTATGACCAGGCCTGAAGGGATTCGAATACCCTGATCTGGGTTCCTTCTGAGGATCGTGAACGTTGACCCAGTCATGGTTTGGTGCACTGAAAGCTACATCCGTTTGATTACTTCGAATCGTGCGAACTCTCGATGAAGGCCGTCTGGATCCAGCCTCTGCGCGTGGCAGCTTCACGCCAGATTTCCTTTCTTTAGATCCACGTCGACGTGGACGAGTGGTTGATGTTTTCCCAAATTTCACGTGTTGATCACCAGCCTTTCGCCTGGGCGACGGGGGATCGTTGTAGATTGGCGACGATCCGTATGCATAATAATCCTCTGTATTGCGGTCAGAGGTTCTTGCGCTCCTCGTACGGGCTTGTTGGGTGTTGCGGCGGAAGTTGTACGGAGGTGCATTAGCATCGAACGTACTGTCTTCCTCAGCACTCTGGAATGCTTCGTCGTCGGACCCGACAGGCTCATTCTCCTGTTCCCACTCGTCCAAAGATACGTCATCATCCTTCTTTGCTTCCTCCACTTTCCTCAGGATGTCTTCCCTCCAGGTATCATCCTCGACTACACCCTCAACACCATGTTGACGAGTTGAGCTGAGACTGATTTGATTGGGCGAAAGCGTGGTCCATGAGGAGAGTAGTCTGTTTACTACAAGATCCGGTTCTGTCTGTCTGCTCCACAAGATCACAGACTTCTCATCTGGACTTGAGGGTCGTCTTTCGGGTAATGTGACCGGCTCAGAAGACGATGCGTGGCTACTTCTCGTGCTCGTCTCGACACTTTCATCAACGACGGACGCTTGATGAAGCTGACGACGCTGTGGGTATGGGGGCGGGGGACTCGTGTCGCCAGAGCTGAACACCATCTGAAAAAGCCAGGGCGCAGTGTCAGAAGAGGCGCTCTTCCATAGGTCTAATTCAGCCGAGGAGTGTGGTTCCGTGCCTGCCTCGAGCTTTTCATCTTCTTCTTGTGCACTCTCTACAACGTGCCTGCCCGCCTGAACAGCGCTTTCCACAATCCTACGGAACCGATTGAATCCTGGCCGGCCATGGCTTTGACCGTTCGAGTCGAAGTTAGCAGATCTGGTAATGTAAGTGATCGCAAAACTACGAAGACAACATTAATCATGCTTACAGCCGATTAGCCTCTTCCCCGGCGAGGCGGATGACGCTTAGCTCCAGGACCAGTAGCGTCTTGATTCCCTCGATCTTCTTCAGAAGACCTTTCACTTTAACCTTGTTCGACAACCACTTAAGCCTTACGAGGCTTCGTCGTCGATTAATTAGTAGTCGAATCTCCGCAGCGACCCCTTCGTATCTCGATATGATGGCGCGAGTATTTGCGAAGAACGCCGGCTTGCATAGATTCTGATGAGTACCAAGGATCTCTCCAAGGGTCTGCAGACTTCCTGCGAGTAGAGATATCTCATCCGCTAGTCAAATTGAGTATGTTATACGCTGAAACTAGAGCAGTCTGCCTACCGATATCCGCTATCTCTTTAGGTGCATTTTTAAGTGTCCCGACTACGCTGGAGAGAGCAAGCGAGAGTTGGGCTGCGCTTGCACCGATGGTGATCGCCGACGCGATGATGCTAATAGGATCCATTTGAACGTAGACGATGCGAACGACAGTTCAGCGGACGCGGGGAGCGATGCGCTGGCAATAGAAATCAGAGCACGTAGCCTTGTGGCTTACACAGCCTCTTTCATGCTCGTCTCCAGGTATTACATAGCCTCGCCGCTTTGCTGCAGGCTGACGACCATCCATTGGTTGTCGAGCCCATGCAGGTTACACGGAATTGTGTTGACGGTTTCGAGCTGAACATGTGGGGGCCATGCTGCATTTACAAGCCGGGGGCAGCAATGCGGCTAGGACGGGTACGAGCGATGTCATACGGGTCTGGATCGAAGAGCTGGACATGCATGGCAAAAAGGTGTGAAGCTCCGATCCAATTCCAGGATTACTCGAGAATTGACTTGGTTCTAGGTCCTACGTCGAACTTTGCCTACATGTTTCTGATGTAATCATATCATAGAGTATCCGAGGCATCGCGTATTGTAGCTGTTGTGCTGTCCGGCATCACCTCCAGCTCGAAAGAGCTCCATGCCAGTCCGTTGATGCCTGGTCGGATGATTGCAAAAAAGCGGCTCAAATCTTTGTTCCGTCTTGCGATATCCGGTGAGGAGCGCATATTAGTGCTGACTGAGTATTGTTGCTTATCAAGACGTGGTGAGGCTGAGAAGGAGACGGGACGAGTGTGGAGTAGAAATGCGGGATGTCTGAGTGGCTAGCGCGCCTCGGCTCTTGGCAGGTGCAATCCAAAAGTTATCGCTCTCATGTCGACTACCCGCTGGAGCTCAACCCCATGCCGCCATGAGCTTTCGACCAATACTGCCGCGGCCAATTGCAGCGCGGGATACGAATTCACTATGTTTGCGATGTTGGCGCAGACTCGCAAAAGCGCCGCTGCAGTCCCGGAGACCACTTTCTTTCAATCCGTCATATAGAGACGACGCCATAGTAGCCGGACGAGGCGGTACTGCTTTCGGAAAGGACTACTTCCGGGCGAACCCACTACTGAAGGACACATTATGGAGGTCAGGGCCAGAGTTGCAGAGCTCGATTCTGTCCATCAAGTCGGCGAACGCAGGCGGGCAGCAAGCAGCGAAGGAGGATGGCACACCCAGCACAGAAGAAGTTTTACCACATAGGCGGCGGAAGAAAGCAAAAGAGCAGGCAGTAGAGAATCCAGAGACGGCATACCCAATACCACACGATGCGTCGTCCAAGCTGGCACACATATCCTCGAGCCTCCCGCAGCAGTCGCTCAAGCGCATGATGACTACATACCTCTCGCTATCGAAACCGCGCCTCTCCTTCCTCGTCGTCCTCAGTGCAACGGCCGCATACTCGCTATACCCCGTACCAGGTCTGCTTGCTCCCGCAGCAACAGCTACCCCATCCCTCTCGACCCTCACCCTCTTCTTCCTCACATCCGGCACTGCGCTGTGCTCGGCATCCGCAAACGCCTTCAATATGATCATGGAGCCCGCACACGATGCTAAGATGAGTCGTACGCGCAATCGGCCTCTCGTTCGGAAGCTTATCAGCCCTCGAGGCGCCATCATCTTCGCCGTCGCGTGCGGGGTGCTTGGTACCGGCGCCCTCTACTACGGCGTCAACCCCACGACAGCGTTCCTTGGCGCCGCCAACATCGCCCTCTATGCGGCCGTGTACACACCCATGAAGCGCATGCACATACTGAACACCTGGGTGGGCGCGATCGTGGGAGGCATTCCGCCGCTCATGGGTTGGACGGCTGCAGCGAGTCAGTACGCCCATGACGGAACTTGGGAAGAACTACTGTTTGGTGAGGGTTCAGCTGGTGGATGGCTGTGCGCTGCGCTCCTGTACGCCTGGCAGTTCCCCCACTTCAACGCCTTGAGCTGGGCCATCCGCGACGAGTACAAGAACGCGGGCTACCGCATGACAGCCTGGGTGAACCCTGGAATGAACGGACGAGTGGCACTGCGATACTCTATTCTGATGTTTCCTGTCTGCATCGGTCTGTCATACTGCGGCGTAACCGACTGGAGCTACGTAGCCACGAGTAGTGTCGTCAACGGCTGGATGGCACTCAAAGCCTGGCAGTTCTGGAAGGCCGAGGGACAGAAAGGGACAGCCAGAGGTCTTTTCTGGGCTAGCATTTGGCACCTTCCCATCGTCATGGTACTCGCCATGGCCCAGAAAAAGGGACTTGGAGAACGTATTTACCGCAGCATTTTCGGCTATGCCGACATTGACGAAGAGGATCTGTACTACGAAGCCGGCGAGTTCGAGGCAGAGGAGCAGAAACAATTGGCCCTCGTCGAGAGCAGACGAAACGCCTGAGATTGGCGTACCTGGGAGACCCACATTGCATGCTCGCTGTCAGGCAAGCACATTCACCGTTCCCGCTCACCCGTTGACGATCGCTCGATCAACAGGTACATGTTTCCATACCCCACTGTATCATATGTCATTATCACGCATCTAGAAGGTCGCGATCGGATTTAACGAAAACAAGCTTCATGTCCATAGTGTTTCGCATCTTCGTCCCGGGTTTTCTTCAAGTTCTTCCATGCCGCCACGATACTGCAGTCCACACGCTCAATATATTCTAGCAGCCACTGTGCATCGCTTCGAGTAGTCGCCTCCATCCAACGTACGCTTGTGGTGCAACTAGAGACGCCATTCAATCTACCAGGATGGCAAAGCCGCCTGTCGCAATATCGGAACCGGGTCATGTGTTTCGACTACCGGACAGGGGGACGCTGCTTGCCGACCAATGACTACATGCTAGCGCCACTAACCTCATCTAAACATCCATATGTTTCCCATGAATTAATTGTACTGGGTCTCGCGTTTCAACACCTCGGTTCGGCAACGCCCCATCGCCTACCATCTCTTTTACCCGCCGGAACATTATCGACCTACTCGTGCGCAAGGCGGCGAAAAAATGAAGTACCACACGCCTGAGTCTGGGGCGCATAGTACTGCAATATAGAGGAACCTGGATGTGTGACGGCTCCACTACCAAGCCAGCAGCATGGTTGTATATATAGAGGGGGCCATGGTACTTCGTATAGACATCAAGATACCCATCATCACATCTTCTTCACAGTACCAACCATGAAGTGCTCCGTCCTCACCACCCTTCTCGCTGTCGCCAGCACGGCCAGCGCCCACTACACCTTCCCCGAGCTCGTCGTCAAGGGCCAAAAGACCGGTCTGTGGCAATACGTCCGCAAGACCGCCAACTACCAGTCCAACGGTACGCCTCCCAATTCATACCCATCACTTCCCTTCCAAACACCCATCTAACACCCCATCTAGGCCCCACAACAGACGTAACCGCCGACGCCATCCGCTGCTACGAGCTCGCCCCGGGCACAGGCTCAAAGACCTACACCGTCAACGCCGGCGACTCCGTCGGCTTCACAGCCGCATCCAGCATCTCGCACCCGGGTCCCCTTCAATTCTACCTCGCCAAGGTCCCTGAGGGCAAGACTGCTGCGACCTGGGATGGAAGCGGCGATGTGTGGTTCAAGATCTTCAGCCAGGGCGCTACCTTTTCTGGTGGTCAGATGAACTGGCCGAGCAACGGTATGTCTTCCTCTTTATTTCCCCCACCAAAGAACATTTCACTAACATGATCGTTTCGTAGGCAAGCAAGAAGTCGACGTCACACTCCCCAAATCCCTTCCGTCGGGCGAATACCTCATGCGCGTTGAGCACATTGCTGTGCACTCTGCGTCTACCATCGGCGGTGCGCAGTTCTACATCTCGTGTGCGCAGTTGAAGGTTGAGAACGGTGGCAGTGGAACGCCGGGACCCAAGGTTGCTTTCCCGGGTGCGTACAAGGCGGATGACAAGGGCATTCAGCTCAACATCTACTACCCGGTTCCTACTAGCTACACTCCTCCGGGCCCCGCTGTGTGGAGTGGTTAGATGGAATGAGGATGAGGGTGGATAAGGAGATATTTAGTTTCGTGTATATACTTGAGAATGAAACTTTCACGTCACATACTTTCAGCTTTGTTGAGAAATCTGCGTCGCATGTAAGCGTTGTGAAATTGTTCTTGTTATATATTCTTGTACATTCTTTGGCCTCGTAAACCATCTCAATACTGGGCTTCAGTCCTATTTCGCGCTAGAGCCAGCGTGTGAGCTTCCGTGCTTCCTCCGACTCGAGCTCTTCTTCTCCTTCTCCTTCTTGTCCTTCTTTTCTTTCTCAGCCTTCTCAGGTTTCTCAGGCTTCGGGTCCTTTTCAGGCACCTCAGGCGCTACTTCCTGTTGCTCCCTGACCTCCTCGGGCTTACTACCAACCCTTCTTACGGCCCTGACAACGTCATCTGCTCGCTCGATCGCGACTTCGTGGCCTACACCGTCGAGTACCTTGACCCTGACGTTTTCCTCACCCAGTACTGCTCTCGCATCCTCGGTGACTTCGTCGGCGATGATAACGGGGTCCGTTTCGCCGAGGATGAGCCAGACTTCCTTTAGTGGGCCGGCGCGGTTCTCGATGTTTTCGCGGATGACGGCCCATCGCTCTTGTTGATTCTGGATGGGCGCATGACGGATGGTCGATATGAAAGCTGGCACGAACCCCTTGTGGTTTTGTATCTGCCAATCCACGACGGAAGAGACGGTAGAGTGCGGGTTGCCGGGCAAGAGCATTTGGTTGCTGCTCAGATATGTCTTGTCTCCTTCGCTCGCAGTCGTGGTAGTCTCCGCATTCTCTACTGCTTCAGGATCGCTCTCAACTACTTTGCGTCCTGTCCATAGTTTGCTTGCGACAAACTTGCGTACCATCCATTCCGGCATCCAGGAGCTGTTGTAGAGCATTTTGCTGGAAATGGAAATGCGGTTTTTGCGGATGAGCCCACTAGGAGCGACGAGGACGAGCCCGCGGACCAGCGAGGGGAAGTAGGATGTGAAGTCTGCAGCGATGGCGCCTCCCAGAGAGTAGCCGACTATGGTGAAAACTGACCAGTGGATGGGCGAAGATTGTAAAGCGAGCAAGATCTGGCTGGTGAAGAGGCTGGAGTCATAGTTGGTTGTGTCCGGGTTAGGGCCATCAGAATAGCCGCGACCAAAGAGGTCTGTTGATGTTGTTAGTATGATTGGTTTGTAGCATAGCACGGACTGTCCACGATGCAGTTCGGTAATCGCATCTGCAGTGCACGTGGTTCACCGTTGGTAGGGCTGGCGGGCCCCTTGCCCAAACGGGCAAAGCAAGGAACCCCATGACACAGTCCTGCGCCCGGTTCAACGTGGGGCATGCAGATGTGGCGATCATAGAAGCTGCACAGAAAAACCATCTTCTCCATGTTCAGGAAGACGGTGTTTGGTTTCACGGCTTTGAAACAGCGAAGAGGAAAGTGATGGGGCAAAGACTAGCAGTGACAGCAAGGAGGACCCACCAAAAAGCATGACACGTCGGCCCCTGCCAACCAGTTTGTGAGCCAGGTCAGTCAAGGCAATGCTCGGAGTCGAGATGCCATGGATGAGCAAAACTTTTTCTCCATCTCTGGGGCCAAACTCATACACGCGGATAGTACCCCAAGGTGAATCGACATCGCGGGCTCCGGGCAGTGCAGCTGGATGGTATGGCAGTTCTGCAGCGTCCTCGGGAGACAGATCCGGTAGCAGGGAATCCCTGGGAGAAGCAATCGGAGGCCGTCTGGGAGACTTTGAAGATGAAGTCAAGGCCCATAGGATGGATAGTCCGCCAACAGAGGCAGCGCCTATGATGGCATAGCGCTGGACCTTGGGAAGGCGCTCGAAGCGGGACAGCTGGGTGGCGGTGATGTTGGAGACCCTCTGGATGGCAACCTCGGCGGCTTTGGGCTGGGGCTTCTCGCTGGCGAATAAGGAAAACATGGCGATACAGGAATAGATGTAGAGAGTCGGACCCTGAGGCGGTGGAAGAATAAGCTGATCGCCATGGCGCTAAGCGATCGCCGCTTCCGCTGGATGCGCCACATGGAACAGGCCCATTGTTGCCATACCGTATTTCTTTTACAGCTCGGTTCGGATGCCATCGCCTGCCGTGCATGCGGCCGGCCTTACTAGAGACGCTGCCGCATGCATATCACACGAACCTTATCGCGACGTAACGTGAAATAATGCTCCGCGTACCAAGGCCGAGTTGAATTGGCGCTGATCTCGAGGCGGCTAGCCCTGCTGCTGTGGAGTGAGCCAAGTCTGGGAGCGCGTCAGCTCAATCCTCACAGCCACAAGCTGAGCACGGAGACGCTGCGTAGTCGGCCCTGCACTTCTACACATCCTCCCTGCCCACGGCGTTGCTGACCCGGGGACAACCACTGCATTCTGACCAACCCCACTGTCTTTTATCTTCTCGCTGACCTTGCATTTCCCTTTCATTCTCCTCTCCGCCCCTGCGCCATCCCCCAGGAGGGTCGCATGTCTGGTGCCGTCGTTTGCGGACCCCCGAGAACATTCACGCCTGCATTTTCGCATATAGCAATACTACGATACTAGAGCAGTCGACTGCCATTGAGTCTGAGACAGCAACGACGCATCCGCGATTGGCTGGGTCCTGTAGCGCATCATGGACGACTGGACGTCGAAACAGCTCCCTGAGCGCCTTCCCTTCTCTAAGAAGCGCCTTCCCAAGAAGGTCATCTTCTCGTGCGTACGACTATGCATGCATAAGAGTAGTAGAAACTGACCAGCACAGATATATTGGCGACTACCTCATCATACTGCAAGACCACCCTCGCCGCGTCACACGACCTCCTTCCCAGCTCGATCCGGCTAACAAAGACATAGTGTTCTTATGATAACCTTCACCATTGTCGACAAGATCCCGCCCTTCCACCAGCACTTCGCCCTCGAAAACTACACCCTGCACTACCCATTCGCCGAACATGAGCGCGTACCCGTCCCGTGGCTATGCGTCTACGTTATCCTCGCTCCCGCTGCGGTCATCGCACTCTACACCATGGTCATCGATGGGCTCTTCTCACATCAGACGACAATGCCCGCAGGCAGGGCTGGCATCAAGCGCCTATCAGGGAGATATCGATTCAAGGATCGGTTGTGGGAGTTGAACTGTGGCATCCTTGGCCTTGGCCTGAGCATTGGCGCCGCCTTCACCATCACAGGAGCCTTGAAGAACGCCATTGGCAAGCCGCGGCCAGATCTGATCAGCCGCTGCATCGTCGATGAAACCAAGCTCAACCTTGAAAAATACGCATTACAAACCATCGACATCTGCAAGCAGACTGATAACTACATTCTACAAGATGGTTTCAAGAGCTTCCCCTCTGGGCATAGCAGCGGTATGCGATCTTGCTACCCGAATACAACATTTACTAACGCCTATCAGTCTCATTCGCCGGTCTCTTCTACCTCTCCATCTACCTCGCCGGAAAGCTCCACGTTCTCGACGCAAAGGGCGAGGTCTGGAGATCATTCCTCGTCATGGTTCCTGCTCTCGGAGCTGCTCTGATTACCGGAACCCGTATCATGGATGCTCGTCACCACCCATTCGACGTCCTCTCCGGCGCCCTACTCGGCATACTCGTGTCCTGGGGTTCCTACCGCCAATACTTCCCTCCCGTCTCCGAGACATGGCGCAAGGGACGCGCATACCCAATTCGAGCCTGGGGTCAGGCATCGCGCGCACCGCCGCAGCCTACGATCATGGTCGACGATGATGTACAACCGCTGCAGCGCATGGCCAAGCCGGTGGATGAGGAACGCGGAGAGGCGTCTGGTTACTCTTCTACAACGGCAGTGCCTGAAGGTAGCGGCGAACACACGGGCAACGTCTTCCGCCAACAGATCCACAACTCGCAACGTAGACGCCAGGAATCAGGATCGCAGTATGGCGTTGATCGCAGCGATACAGCAGCATCAAGCAACTACCGAACGGGCACAATGGGATCCACCATGACGTCGAAGGTGCACACATACCAGAATCAGTTGCCGGCTACGAATCCCTTCGCAGTGGATGTTGCGCGCCAACGTCAAATGGACACTTACGACTACTCGTCTTCAGAAGATGACGACAACTACGAGTTGCAAGCAAGGACTGGCGTGTACAACCCAGTATCAGGGAGGTTGACAGACACTGGATACCACCCGCCAGTGGGCCTCTCCCCAGTACCCACACCACCGCCTCCAGTCAATACCATCATACCAAACCAGCAGAGGACGATGTCGCCTACGGGAGATTTGGCGGATAGCAGAGGCGCTCCACCAATGCCACCGCCACATGCTATAAGTACGGCGCCTCAGCAGATTTGATAGGAATACGAAAAGCCTTGTTTAGCAGAACGCCCGGAGTTGTTTTCTAGACATGCGATCAAGCATATGTTAGCATGTTAGTGTATTGAATATACGTGTAATCTTCACCCAAGCATGGTCAAGACGTCGTGCAAGTGAAGTCTGTATTACAACTACTAATTCAACAGCCCACATCCCCAAGAAAGAAGCAACAGAGGAATGAGCCTATCCCCTGCGTCTTGTGCTCGGACTCTTGCCCGCGGCATTCGCATACGAAGGCGTAGCACCGCTCGAGACGGCACGCGCCATTTCCTTCTTGTCGGCCGCGATGGGCTTTTCCAATTTCTTCGACTCCGTCTTCTTGGACGCGGGCGCGTTCCAGTAGTATACAACCTGGCAGAAGAGGATAGCGTTGAGGGCGAAACCAGCGATGAAGCCGTAGAGGATGAGCGGGTCGTCGACTTCTTGGAGAGTTGTAAAGATACGAGACAGGGAACCGAGGAGGTAGTTGACAACCTGACAGCCATATTAGTAAACCATCTCCCGTAATGTAGAAACATGAGAACTTACAGCAAAAGCGCTCAACTGGCCCGTCCCACCCTCACTCCACACCGTCAGAATCTGAGGCACCTTGCTCGCAACACCCAACACACCAGCCGTCGCCTGAAACAAGCTCAACTTCTCATTATCAACCCACTGGTCATTAAACAGCGCCGCGCCCGCCGCCGCCAACCCCCCAATCCATCCCGCAACGCCCACACCCCGTCCACTGTATTTCAACACCAAACTCGCAATAGCGATATTCTGCACGAGAATAAGCGCCGTCTCGCCATACGTGCTAAACGGGAATCCATGGCGGACGTTGTACGCAAGGCTGATGAGGTAGGAGCTCGATTCGAGGAGGTAGGACAGGAACGAGAGGCCGTCGGCGGACTGCGAGTTGAGCAGTTTGAGGAGCTGCGGGATCTTGACGATGGAGGAGGCGCCGATGATGCCGATGCCGAGGCCCTTGGAGATGGCGAGTTTGACGCATTCCGTGGCGGTGATGTCGACGTTGTAGATGAGGGTTTTGTAGCATTTGGGGCCGAGGAGCGAGATGCCGACGTCGGCGATGGGTTGGGGCAGGTTGTGCGTTATGGGTTGGATGGCGGATTTGAGCGCGTCCATGGTGGGTGGTTGTGCGCTGGGAGGGCGACTTGGGCGGGTTGTTGGGTTGGGGCTGAGAGGGGAGGACACTTTGCGGATACGAGGCGTGAGGGTCTGAACTTTTGGCCCGCACGCACGCTGACGCAAGGCTTGGCACGCGTAGGGGTTCGCGTGTCTAGACAGACACATGAATGGCGCATCGTGTCACATCAACTTTTGCCTGAGCTAATTGCTACATCATGCATTACTACTGCCATTACTGCCATTACAACCATTACAATGCTATCCACCCTAGCCACGACCGTCGAAATGCGAGAAGAATGCTATGGTATACTACAAAATGGTCCCGTCAAGTAAAAGGTGTCCGAAGACTCGCGACATGGTAAAAGATCAAAGCGACGGTCCGGTATCTACTTAAAACACGTACTGCAGATATGTTAGCGACGATTTAGTCAAGACGCGAAATGCTGGACTTACCGGAATGAACAAATAAGGCACCTGCCTCTCGTACTCCTTCCAGGCCTCGCCGTACTTCTCCCGGCACTTCTCAATGTCTCTCAGCGCCCTGTGAATGATCATACCCGCAAAGAACACAGAGTAGAACCATGGGAACGGGCTGCTGAAGCCGGTAATAAGACCCCAGCTAATTGCGAAGAACAGATCGCACGTGTAGTGAATCTTGCGCGCCTTGCCGTACCAGCCGTCAGCCAGAATCTTGTTGCCGTGCGATGTCTGGATGGTCTTGGGGTTGGCGATGCGTCCGTACTTGAAGTAGGGGAAGGTAGTGCGCTCGTCGACAACACCACGCTCCTCTTGACGGAACTGGTTCTTTTGCGAGTTGGTCGTGTCCCAGATGTAGTAGACGCCAAGGTAGGCAAGGGTGAGGAGGGCGGTAAACCAGGTCGGGAGTTGGTATTCGGAAGGGTGGTGGTTGGCAATGAATAGGGTGCAGTGGCAGTACGACAGGGGTACACCAGCCATGTTCCAGAAGATGAGCATGAAGCCGAGTTTCTCGTAGTACATGTCCCAGGTTGTGATGATGAGGTGCTCTCCCTTTGCGCAGGCGCCGGCATACAGGTAGTGGGCAAAGAGCAGGAAGATGGCTTCTATGGATACGTAGCCATACTGTTCGTACTGCTTTAAGCAGGTACCGAGCGAAAGGAAGAAGAGGATAAACCACGGAATGCGGACCTCGAGGAACATCTTGAAGTCCAGAATACCGAACAGTCTAGGGTTGAGCTCCGCACCAAGGAAGAAGTCGACAATGGGGTTGTCAGTCATCCGAAGGTCGGCGCCGCGGACGCGAGCTGAGACGTATGCGATTGTCGAGCAGAGGAAGCCTGAGAGGATGGCTACGCTCATGATGTGGCCGAACTCGTCAATGAGAGTGTACAGCTTGAAGACACCAGTGAAGTGTAGGGTCAACATGATGACAATGCTGGAGTAGAAGGACCACATGGCCGAGCAGTAGTAGTCCAACTGCTTTCCGCCAAGATGAGGCAGAGCCTTGCCCTTGCGGTAGACACCCGGCATGAGCAAGTAGAAGGCCATCTGCATGAGTCCGAAGAACCAGTAGATCTGCCACGCTTTGTTGTTCGGGAACGCCTCAGTCTTTACCAGATACCACATGTGTCCAAAGAAGTCGCCGTAGCTCTGGCCCGCGGTCGGTGTAGGGAATTTGCCGTCGTAGAAGGTCGCTCCAATCCACATGTAGTACATGAGCGCTGGGAAGCAGATCATCATACTGCTCATGCCAATGGCGCCTCCGAACTCGTGCAGACCGGACTTGTCCTTTGGCGAGAAGAACTTTTCCGCCTCCATCTTGTAGTCCAGCTCGACGATCTCCTTTTCGCTCTTTGTGCGCCCGTTTGCGTTTCCATTCGTGTGTCCATTCGTGTAGCCGTTGGCGTGTCCGTTTCCGTTGGCATGGCCATTGCTCTTTTCCTCGACTTCGTGCTTGACGTCGCTGTCGCCAGACCGGAGAGGCTTCAAGAAGTTCTCTGGCTCGGGCGTTGATTCGTATCCGTCGTCGACATCAGACGCAAGCGATTTGCGTTGCGACTTTCTGCGCCCGGGGGTCTCGACAAAGCCAGGACGGTCAGGCTTTCTGCGTTATGCATGTCAGCAACTAATGCACACGTCTGCACAGTATGCACGCGCGACCTGGCATTCACTCACTGGGGCGTCTTGCCGGCCTGCGACCGCGTCACTCGCATTGACATGGCTACTGTAGGTGCTGGTGTGGCGACGCGCTGTTTCAAGGGGTTCAGACTCGAAAAGGATGAAGCCGAATTTTTGGCAAAGATGACAAGATATGAAGTAGAAGAACTGCCGCTGAAAAAGGTACAAATGCCGTCACAGCACGATCATAAAGGCTATGTACACCGCGCGAATCACCAATGGCACAAAAAGCGGCGGTGAAGTCTTTGTGTTTGTTGACAAGTAGTATGAATTCGGGGAGTTGCTCAGGGCTAGGGGTAATTTGCGCCAATCGGAGCGCGCAGGGCCCGAGTCCGTGACATCAACATGGGACGCTACTGGTAAATACGCTTTATACGGATGTAATTTTGCAGTGGAGCGCCTGACGTCGCGACGTGAAGTCTGAGAGAGTGACATGACGTCGTAATCTTTGTAAGTACCCCGAATGCTAAATGATGCTAGAAGTTCCCAGGACCAGCATGTGCTTAGCGAAAGTATAAAGTTCGGTACAATGAAATCCACCGCCATCCACCGCTACACCAGTCTTCCTGTGTGGTACTTGCATGTCGTCGTATGGGCCGAGTTGCCCACTCGCCTGACGTTGTTGTAGTTGCAAAGACAGATCCAGCAAAACTCAAAGCGGCATTTCGAGCCTATGAAAGTCAGCAAGCGGTCATCGACGTCTAAAGCAACGCGAAACTCACATGTCATGTGGTCACAGCCATCGTTCTTCTCAATATTCCACGTACATCCAGGACCGGGACACTTCTTGGTCAGTTTCCCGATCGCTTGAAGACTCGCTTCTTCTTGTGCTCTCTGGTCTCGCTCCTTCCGACCGGAAGATCGATATTCAAACTCCTCACAAGTTTCGCCTTCGTGCCATGTGTTCTCGTGGATGATACAGACTTTGTGTCCACATGCTACACATGTGAAGATATTGCCTTCGACACCGCTCATGTGGATCTGACCGGAGTCACACGCTCGACACCATCGGAAGTTGGCTGTGCCATTGTCAGCTTTTGAAACCTAAAATTGTTGTTGCTACGACTCACGATCTTCGCTGAAAGCTGCTCGGGCGATGAATGTGTCGTATTGCTGGAAGATCTCCGGTTGCGCGTATAGCCGGATCTCATGGTATGACAGCACTGTCTCGCATTTGCTCCCTGGACATTTGGCTTCGCGCCAGCTACTGCTTTGGAGCTGCGCGGTTATCCATCCTGAGTAACAGTCCGCACACGTTTCCGGTCGATGATCGCATTCAGCAAGAGAGGGTAGGTCGACAACATGAACGCTATCGCCGCAGACGACGCAATCACGACTCCGCAGATGCGTCCTCTCATCTACGTAGGTGCTCGTCGTCTGTGGCGTATCGACCGGCCTTGCGTTGTATTGATGGAAAGGCGATACACCATCAATATCCATAGGCTCTCCATACAGCGCCACATAGTCTTGGATTCGCGCCCTTTCGGGAACAACAACTTTGGGCTCGTCGGGTTCGGGGTCTAGATCGATAGGATGCTCTCGTGTGCCGATGTTGGTGATTGCCCGCCGCAAACTGGCCAATCGTCCACTCTTTTGAGACGGTACCTGAGGAGACGCAGCTCGAGGTGCAGATGATTCAGACTCTTCCGCAATGCGCGAAGCTGTCGTTCGATAGGTCGCATCCTCTTCCCGTTGCAGACGCTCAGCCAACAGACGGTCTTCCTCTTCTTGAGCTCCGTAATCTGTATCTCCCCGCGAAAACCCCCGCCCGTGTGTACATCTAATAGCTCGGATTGGGTTCTGGTTCTCGATTTGCGCAACACGAGCTGCAAGGTCAAACTCCGAACTCTCTGAGCTGTCCGAGCTACCGGGTGTTAGCATATCTTCAGAGCCACTGCTCGATGAATCAGGACTTTGACATCGGTGATCAGGCCTCATTCGTAGAAACCTCGCCTTTCGAGTTCGTCGTCGATTCAGCGACTGTCGTGATAATCCGCCTGACTGGAAGAAGTTTGTGTTTTCGAAATTGCCTCCAGGGCGGTTCGAGCCTGCAGTCGCATCAAGTTCATTGTCATCGTCGATCATTATGGGTTCGCTACGTGTCTGGCCCTGATGAGGGCGGTTCACACCCGGCTGTGACGTTTGTGAACGCGGCTCCTCTCGGAAGCTCGGCAAGATGGGATTTGAGACCGCCATTCTGTTCCATGCTGCTTTGGCGGCTACGGTCTTGGTTGAGGTGGAAGATTGGAGGGGAAGTGAGAAGTTTGTTGCACTACTAGATGTTGACAAGTCGGCAGGTGCAACTGGCACATTGGGCAGTCGCAGCTTCCCCCACTGCTCGGTGAGTGCGTCTCTCACTGTCAACTGTGGAGGTTCCTTCCTATGTATCCGGGGCACGTCGCCTTGTTCATCCGACTGTAAAGGATCGTACGAAGATGGTTGCGCGGAGATTGGGTATACAAGATGTGGCTCGGGAAGCACAAGCGAAGCGATGCTGAGACTTCTTGCAGGCTGGACAACTTCGCTTTGTTGTGTTTGTGGACGAGCCTTCAGAAGCGATCGTGGGGCGGGCTGTGACGTAATCCGGCGCGTGCGCACGTGGTCAGCCATATATGGTTCTCGCGCGCAAGACACTGGCAGTGCAACTGGAGGATGACTGGCATCAGGCGTGAAGGTAGAAGACTCGGTTATCGACTGCTTGGTTCTCCCTTTCTTTGGCTTGAACTTGTGAGAAAGACGTTTCCCGAACGCGAGCTTCGATGGTCGAGCCGGCAGGTAAGTCTGAGAGAATCTGGATGATATGTTAAGACTTGATTGTAAACATGCAACATCCCGAGCAAGGTTGTGTCGCACTTACTCTGCCATGGTTGTGGTTGCTGTGTCTACGTGAAGTCCAAAGCTGGCTCAGCCCTGCAGACGGTTACCTAGGTAGGCTGTGCGCGAAGCACATGTGTAACAGTCTCTTCCGGCCTCCGTATGGTTGAGAAACTGCAATGGGTTGAGGAGAATTCACGCAGAGTTGAAGGTGCAATATCCGAGAGCGTCAAGGAGTGTGATGAAAGCTGAAACTCAAGGGCTGTGTGCGAGAAAGCTCACGAGGCTGGGCTTCGTGTGGCTAGAGATATTTAGGGTCCAATGTGCAAGGCCCAAAGGACCGAAGATTCATTGGAAGGCTTGAATTCAATGATCTCTCCGGTGGTAGTATGCAGCCACTCGCATCTGTACCACGCTTGCCGACCAATTATTAACCAGGGCGCTACCCAACCACTGGTCAACTCACCCAGAAGATAGACCACGATTGCTCAGCCTACTTGCATCCGAAAGCTCTTAAACCTTCCGGGCGGGCTTCACTGTGCCAACACATACTCCAAAGCCGACACCAGTGCTTCCATCTCCAACAACGCCTGTGTAACGCACCTCGTCCCCATCATTGAGGTAGCGTAGCTCAGATCTATCGCTCAGTTTGCTTGGAGCCTTGCCGTTCTTAGTCAGTTCGAGCAAACATCCATGTTCATGTTCTTGTTCGCCCGACACTGTCCCGCTAGCTACCAGATCTCCCGTGCGGAGTCCACAGCCGCCGATAGTGTGGTGCGCTAACATATGCCTGAAGGTCCAGTACATCGTCTCGAAGCCAACCTTGCAGGTCGTAGTCTGAGTACCGTTTCGGATGATCTGACCTTCAAGCTGGATGTTGTAGTTGATGCTGTTGGGATCGTCCATGAAGGAAGCTACAGGCTCCATACGAGGCGGGGCCGATACCTCATGAGGCTTCAATGCTTCTAGCGTAACGACCCAGGGGGTGATTGAAGTCATGAAATTCTTTCCGTTGAAAGGCCCCAGCGGATTCATCTCTAAGCCTTGGATATCTCTCGCGCTCCAATCGTTCAGCAGAACTAGTCCAAAGATATGGTCATCCGCGTCCTTTGCGTTAAGATACGTCCCAGCTTGGACGGGTTTGCCGATGACTGCCGCGATTTCCATCTCGTAGTCCAAGCCGCGTGACGGGCCAAATATAATCTTCTTCTCTGGAACGGTGTAGTCCTCGATGAACTGACCCAGAGGTCTTGTGACGGGTGCCCCTGAGACTGTGATTGAACTCGACCGGCCTGCGTAACCCACAGGGTATTTCATGAAAGCAGGTGGGTAGGCACGAACTCCTTGCACCGCTTCTCCCGCATTCAGAACATGGTTCGCTGAAGCGCTGTAGTCTGTGAAGTCTCCGACACTGACTGGCATATGGAGCGTAACATCGCTGATGTTCTCTGAACAATTGGCGTGTGACTTGTTCTTGTATGCCTCTTGTATCGCAGAGCGTACTTGACTTTGTATGTCTTTTCCCAGCGCGGCAAACGTGTTCAACGTGGATTCGCGGAAGATGGAGGATAGCGGTGCTGAGATAGCCTTGAGGGTTTCATGCTTCGCGAGCTCTGCAAGGAATATGACCTCGTTACCGATGCGTGTGGTACACTGTGGTGCAGAGCGCTTCGACGAGCTTGCGATACCGTATGGGATATTGTTGACACCGAAGTGCGATGCGTAATTGTCTGCCATTGTTCGTGACTCTTAGGTATTCTGGTGTCAAGATTTCGGTCGACTTGTTAGCAAAGAGCGATACACGATATCCAACTCGCAATACTCAGATTCCAGACTACAGTTACCAACATTAACCCGAACCTAAGCTCGCGAGGCATTGTGTAGGTGGGGATTACCATCTCGGATACAGCTCCTCCACATCCCATCAACTCCTGTAAGCTAATATGTCCGGAGCTGAACACGGCAACGGTCGAGAGTGGAGACTGAGCGTTCCATGGTTATCCGGCTGACGTTGATGCAGCTATTGATCGCGTCCAGTCCAAACTTCGCGGGACAACTTTCAACCTTCGGCCGTACGCGTTCGGTCTAGTACCAAAGTGGGCAAGCGCGTCCGTCAATCGATAAGCAGGACACGCGTCATGTTCGCTCCCCGCAGTGGCAGTACTTGCTGCTTGCTCACATCTCACTTCAAACTGAAGATCTTCGTACATCTCCATCCACCAACTCTATTCAAAACGGTTGGGGAAGCATGTGTGCTATGCAGAACCCCGCACGGGATATACCGAGCCTGCGCCGGCAGATGGCGGATGCAGGGTCTCTGCCCTCCACATCGGGATCCTGTATATGAGTTCACTAGACGGGTTCAGCGCGACGCGTTTTGGATGTACATGATCATCAGATCTTGAATCTTCTTTCAAATCACACGAAGTGCCTGTATCCATACACTACAATCCGAGAATCTTGACGCTCAATTACCTCTCTATACCCCCAGATCACCTCCAAAAATGGCCTCCAAACCCCAAATCGCCAATGACCTTCCCAAGGTTAACCGCTTCATCACAACCCACGATCCCACCACCAAGAAAGCTATATTCTCCGATGCAGTCCCAGAAGAAGCCAAAGTCGACCACATTCCAAATGCCGACTTCCGACTTGGATACGTTACCAAGGGATTTCCCGTCGATCTGAACAAAGACGCCGACCTCGCGGTTTACAAGCCTTACCTCGAGTCATCTCCAGGTCTGGTCGTTGGAGGAGGAACAGTGCTACGCTTTGTAGACGTAGCACCCGGTCATCTTTCACCTATGCATCGCACAGTCTCTCTTGACTACGGTGTCGTGCTGGAAGGTGAGATGGAGTTGGTGCTAGATTCGGGCGAGACAAGGTTGATGAAGAGAGGAGATGTTGCGATTCAGAGGGGCACAATGCACGCTTGGAGAAACACCAGCACCACGTCTTGGGGACGCATGATGTATGTTCTACAAGAATGTAAACCAGTAGAGATCGGTGGTGAGGCCCTGAAGGAGGACTACGGAAACATGCAGGGTGTTCCAGCATCGTCGTAGTCGCAGTACTACTTGTAGATACATAAAGCCATCGCATCATCGCGCATATACATCATCTTGCTCTGAACCGTGCTGTGTCATATGTCGCTTCAACCAAATTTCCTGACATCGTGAGTGCGGCATACGACTGTCCTTGATGGCCTAAGTTGTAATGGCGTTGCTAATACAGGTAGCGAAAGCTCGCCTGACGCCGGTTGATCAATTGTCCCGAGGTAACCAAAAGTGAAGAGCTCGTACGAGTTCAGATCGAGTGCCAGATGTTGGGTCTGAAGAAGGCGTCTTCCACCTGTTCGCGTGTCTGTAATCGTGGAAGGTCAACTTAGGTAACGCGCCAATTGGAAGGCGGCACCTCCACATTCCGAAATGTGCCCCTCGAACACTGCCGCCGCACCTTACCAGCGGCGCGTTGTCGGCACGAGCATCCACTACGCGTCGCAATATGATGTATATATCCAAATGCTGGATGAAGTATGTTTCCCTCTTCCCAAGTACCAAATACACAAAATGTCTGACCAGCTAGAAATCAAAGATGCTTACTCGATTGACGAGTCGTCGTTTCCCTACCTGTTCGAGCAGAATGTCGCAGTGCCGCTGAAGACATCCTCAAAAGGCATCATTCGATGCAACGTGTACCGGCCGAAGTCCACGAAAGAGGGTACGAAGCTTCCTGTGCTGGTGACGTACGGACCGTACGGAAAGGACATCCACTACAAGGAGTAAGTCAAAATGAACGTTCTCAGCTGTGCAGCAGCTAACATCTCCAGCTTTCACGGAAAGTCGTTCGCCGAAGTCAACCCCGAACATCACTCAGATCACTCAGCATGGGAGACTCCAGATCCAGGTTTCTGGACGAAGCATGACTACATCATCGTGCGCGCCGACGAACGCGGCTTGGGCCAGTCTCCAGGCTTCTTGGACACCATGTCGCGAGGAACAAGCGAGGCTTTCTTCGATGTTGTCGAGTGGGCGGCTGAGCAGCCATGGTCTTCTGGAAAGGTTGGCCTGCTCGGTATCAGTTACTATGCTGGATCCCAGTGGCGTGTGGCAGCGCGCAAGCCCAAGGGACTGGCTGCGGTCATTCCCTGGGAGGGTATGAGCGATTACTACCGTGATCGATGCCGCCATGGAGGTATTCTGAGCAACAAGTTCATTGACTTCTGGTGGTGAGTATCTCTCACAATCTGCTGCATTTCGGATGCTAACTTGGCTTCTACTAGGAATCGCCAGGTCATCACGAACCAATACGGTCGCCCAGGTCGTGCCGAGCGCAATTGGGGGCCGGACACCGTCGATGGTAACCTTTCGGAAGAAGTGCGCGCGAAGAACCGACAAGACCAGACGATCGATACCGCCGCATTCAAGTACCGCGACGAATTATACTATGCAAGCAAAGAATACGACATGAGCGACATCGAAGTACCGCTGCTCTCGGTCGGCAACTGGGGTGGCATTCTGCTCCATCTCCGCGGAAACATCGAAGGCTACGCACATGCCGGTTCTGAGTTCAAGTACCTACGAATGATCACGGGAAGGCACGACTTGCCGTTCTACTACAAGGAGGAAGTAGAGATACAACGAAGCTTCCTCGATGCGTTCCTCAAGGGCGATGACAGAGTTGGGTGGTCTGTCAAGGGCAAGCTTCCTCCTGTTGACATGGTCCTGCGTAAAGGCGACATTGGCTTCAACGACGCCGAGAAAGAAAAGGTGTACGAGAGACGAACGGAGAACGAGTGGCCCATTGCACGAACACGTTATTCGAAGTTCTACCTTACGCCATCTCAGACTTTGACGCAAGTCCAGCCCATCACCAACAGGCCACAGAAGCTGTCGTACGAGGCGCTTGGCACTCTCGACAACCCCAAGCTTCTCCAGTTCACCACTGCGCCATTCGAGGAGGAGACTGAGATTACCGGCCACATCGTCGCACACCTGAACGTCTCCCTCTCAGCGCACTCCAACGGTGTAACGCCATCTGACATCGACCTCTTCCTCACACTACGCTACATCTCGCCCGAAGGCAAAGAAGTCTACTACACCGGCACAGCAGGCGATCCCATTCCCCTCGCCAAGGGCTGGCTGCGCGTCAGCTTCCGCAAGACAAACCCAGAGCACCCGAAGCACCGCGAATACCTCCCGTGGAGAGACTACTTCAGCACGGATGTGCAGCCCGTCATACCCGGCGACGTATACGCGGTGGATGTCGAGGTCTGGCCGACCAACGTCATCGTTGAGAAGGGTGGCAAGATCGTGTTCGAGATTAGCAGCGGTGATACACAAGGTAGTGGTATCTTCCAACACAATCATCCTGAGGACAGGAGCGAGGAGAAGTTTGCGGGATGGAATCATTTGCACTTTAGCGAGAAGGCTGTGAACTATGTCACTCTGCCGATTGTACCGCCTAAATAGATCAGTAAATATGTTGTTGGAATGAAAGTTCAGATCTCGTTACATGAACTTGTCTCTACCGTTACCGCAATATCATGTGTTCGTCCTACGTCGCATAAGCACAAACATACGCGGAACACCAACGATGAGGAACAGCGTTGATTCAAGTCTTCAAGCATGACAGTAGGTGGAATCGCAAATTCGTTGGGAGTGACGATGTTGTGTGACGGTCATAAATGCGACAAGAAGTGAATTGGATATATATAGTACTCAAAATTTCTACTCCCATCTTCCGACAGTAAACTGGCTGTTGCACATATTAACCAACTCCCAGTCCTCAGCCCCAAGCACACACTCGTCGCCATCCCTCTTGCTCCCATCAACAACCCCAGCCACAAAGCACGCCGCCATATAGTGATCGTCGGTGGCATGCGCATCCCTGAACATGGGATGTTTCATCAACCTTGTAATACCACGAGTCAGACTACCCTTCTTCGCATCCTTCCTACAGCAGCGAACAAAGACGTCTTCGACACTCTGGCGGAACTCCAGCATCGGAGCCTCTGGTGGGTAAGGCTGGGCAAAGTTGTCCGAATACCTCAACATTTGTGCCCAGTGATTCCTGTATAGGTTGTGTACCGCGCCACCTGTCCCGATGATCAGGTAACCCTCGTCGCGGAACTTGGCCAAGATGTTACCCACACGCGCGTGCAGATGTGGGTCGAATCGCGAGTTCATGCTGATGATCGTTGTTGGAGGGCATTTCTCAGGAAACATCCTAATGAGAATCAAGTATGTGTCGTGGATCCAGTCAAAGGTCTCATTGGGTCGCGCATCAATGCCCTTTTCTCTCAGCGCTGCTATGCACTTCTTTCCGCTCTCGAGATCGGGGACGAGCTCGTAGTCTTTGTATTTGCGGGGGTGGACGTACGCGACGGGGGATTTGATGGGCTTGGGGTTCATGGCTACGTCGATGCGGTTTACGCCGCGGGCGTCCCAATGCGCGCCCATCATAATCACGCCTTTAAAGCCGTGGGAGAGGGCTTCGTCGCCGCAGGCTTTCCAGTAGGTGGCGGATTGGGATTCCTCGCCCAGCATCATTGTTGAGCCATGGGAGAAGAAGTGTACGGGTGGCGCCATTGCGGTGTGTTGTTTCAGCCGTAGACTGAGTTGGAAGGGATGACCAAGATAGTAGATGATCAGGTTAGATGTCCGTGTCGTGAGGTTGTGGCGGACTTGTCGCGATATTGATATTACACGGCCAAATTGGCAAACGTCGTGTCCAACACGCGGCTTCACTGGAAGCTTTACCCATTATGATCAGCGCTGTATAGGCAGTCCCAGGTGCTTACGGCGGCAAAAGTCGTGATGTGGGGAGGGTTGGAGGAGCGGCCGAGCGTCTAGCCGAGGGGAAGAAGGCACGCCCGTGTCCTGTCGATCTCCGCATTCCTCTCCACCCACAACCTTATCTCCAGCTTCCCTCCACTTTCCTCTGTCCCTCCGTCCCGATGCCATCGTTCTTCGAAGCCACCCGATAGCACCTCAGCATGCAGACTGCCCCGACATCAGCAAATGTCCAGCTAGCCAGTGCAGAAGCCGAACCACCACGCCTATTCCAGTGTAGCACCTGCAAACGGTCCTTTACGAGAGCGGATCACCTTACGAGGCACGTGAGGGCGCGTAAGTGCTTTTAGAATTAGTGAACAATGTGGTCCGTCAGCCGTGTGCCTGACTACTTGCAATTGAAGCTAGTTGGCCGTCATAATGGCGTCAGACGCGTTCGCGTTGTTGACTCGCGCCGAAAGAACTGCTTTTTCGCGTCTGAGCATCTTGTTCGCATATGATGTTCATTATGTCCCATTCGCCATGCTAACCCAGCACTGACAGATACAAAATCTAAGCCTTACATCTGCCCCGTGTGTTCTAAAGGCTTTGCGCGAATGTGAGTGCTTCATTGCATCCAAAAAGTTATACTATGCTGACATGTCACAGAGATCTACTCAAGAGACATGTAACAAATCACGACACAGAGCCTGCAAGCAAGCGACAAAAGCGCGAAATCGCTCGCGATACCAGGGTCGTTCAGGCCTGCGAAGCTTGCTCCCAAAGCCATCTCCGCTGCGAAGACGAGAAGCCATGCAGTCGATGCAAGAAGAAGAAGATACCCTGCCGGGTACCTGAAGTCCCGGTTACAGACGAAAACGACATACATGAGATTGATGCAGTTCATGCGGCGCAGGATCTGCTCGATTTGTCGAATGGCTTCGATTACCCCTCATCGCTGCCGGCTCACGGCGGCAGCGTCAATACATCTGCATCTACGACATCAGAGACTCCAGAACCTTTTCACAACCACGCGACCCTAGTCGTTACCGACTCGAATACAATGCACCGACACTCCGTAGCTTCAGGCGACCTCGAGACAAGGACAGCAGGTATGGGCGACATGCAGCCGCCACCGCCCAACAACGGCGGCGGCCTTGTCGCGATGAACCAGAACTACGAAGACCCGAGCGCATCTATGCCTTTCTTCGATAATTCGATTGCGCACTTTGACAACACGCCAGGGCACAATCCCTTCTTGCCAGACTATTTCCGCAGCATGCCCCCATTTGAAGCGTTCCTGTCTGGTCAGGCAACTCCACGGGGTATCATGGACCTCAGTTTTGATCTAGATGTTGGTTTGACCGACCTTGATCTCGGTCTCCTTGATCAATACAACTTCCAGGTCCCGTTCGCTGCTGATACACCATCTACGGACGCCCATGGCGCTGAGCAACCCGTACCCGAGACTGACACGGCTCCTGTAAGGGCGGAAGCATTCAAGCAGAGCATCTGGCGTTATCTTCCACAACGTTCCAGGAACCCCACTGCGGAACAAGTCAACCTGGCTGTCCCGGACACAGAGAAGGACGGTTATAGACGCTCAAACTTCACACACCGCCGCGTCGTGGCAGAGAAGTATGCTTAGCTCCGCGATTATGTCGTACAATAGATCTATACTGACGTTCCTTCTAGACTACCACGTGCCAGCCGCGACCGGTTGATGGCTTTGGTTCTCGACACCTGTAGCCGAGAGAACGTCAAACGTATTGCATCGGCATTTCCTAGTATGGAACTACTGGACGGTCTGATCCAGTATTTCCTCTCATCGCCATCGATAGACGCGCCAACGTGGTTTCACCTTCCTACTTTTTCACCCTCGAAGTTGAACCCGGAGTTGCTTGCTTCTGTCGTGTCTGCTGGAGCGGCCACTCTTCCTGACATATCTTTGCGAAAGCTGGGCTACGCTTTGCATGAGGCTTCCAGATTAGGGCAGTCCAAATCATTCGAAGAGGACAACACAGCTATCAGGGATCTTCAGCACTTGCAGACGTTCCTGCTGCAACTCAAAGTCGGCATGTGGAGTGGCATCAGCCGGAAGATGGAGATTGCAGAGAGCTTTCTCCAGCCGCTGATGACGATGCTTCGCCGTGGTGGTCGCTTTCGTCGTTCGACTTGGAAAGAGATCAGTCCGTCTCCTGACGACCAGGGCTCTGTTTTGGAAGAAAAGTGGCTGAGTTGGGTTAACCAAGAGTCCTTTCTTCGCTTGGTTCATCGCGCCTTCGAGTTCGATCGGCAGTCGTCGATGGCATTGCTTAAGCCACCACTGCTTTCCTACGCGGAGATGCAATTACCCTTGCCGAGTCCAAACTCATTATGGCAGGCCAAATCTGCTGCAAACTGGAAAATGGCGTACCTGAATGACGCATCGGCAACTGCGAAGCGACCATCAGCGACCGAATGTCTACTTGATCTGGAGCACCTCACTCAACACGACTATGCCAGTTCGACTTATCTGTACCTAATGTGGGGTCCAATATGGGAATATCGTCAGATGTGCGCCTTGACATCTAGGTCACAGTCGCTGTCAACCAACAGCCTCATTCTCTCGTCGCGCTACCAAGAGCTCACAAAGCAGCTGGAAGATTTCAGGCTCAGCACACCTCCCATGACTAAGAGCGTTGAGATAACACTGGAGATGTTGCTAGTTCATCTCAACGCACCTCTCGATGACATCCAGCTCTTCGCTGGTATCGAAGGGCAAGAAGAAGCACGCAGCGCATACCCTGGCCTTCGAGACTGGGCAAAGACTCCCTCAGCGCGCCAAGCACTGTGGCATGCCGGTCAGATCTTGCGCGCCGCTGAGGTGCTACCAAAAGCTCTGCTTAGTAACTTCAACGCCATTGCTGTGTATCATGCAGGGCTCATACTATGGGTTTACGGCTTTCTCAGACGATCTGTAACAACGGAACAGATTGACACGGCTGTTGTGCTCAACGGGGACGACTCGTTAAGCGCCCGCAAGTTCATCACTCTGGATCGCGGTATTCCGGCGATCAAGAACTCCGGATCACAACATCCTACCCACTTAAGCGATGTTTGTGGAGTCATGGACGGTTTGACGCAACTGCTTCGAGCGCACCATGACGCGTCAGAACCTTCTCCGCCGCTGGTCGGCAACTTGGTGCAATTGCTGGAAGGCCTGCGATCTGCCATCAAATGAGCAAGTCAGCATGTATGATGGTAATTTAAACTCGCGCATGTACGACTATATGTAGGATTTCATGAAGCGCCGGCGCATTGCTATACTTCATCAACATTTGGTAATAGTCATGTCTCATCTATGAGATGCTCGGTTTAATACAACGCCCGAGAGCCAGCCCATGCGAATGGACGACTCCCGCTTCAAGCCTGTGAATAGCGATCAAGACCATCAATCCTTGGTGCCGACCTCGAGCCCAGCGCTCTGGATGGTTCTTACGCACGTAAATGCCATGCTTGCTCATCACGCCAAGGCAATACTGTCACAGTACACATGCAGCAAAGCCGCGCACGTTCCCCACCCGTTCTCCACATGCCAATGCATCTCGCTGCATCCTTCCACCGCACAGCCGGAAAAGGTCAGATCCAAGGATTCCAAACTCGATCTCGCGCCGTCATGTTAGCTTCTCCCTTGCACAATCCGCTGCAACTAGCTTTCTCCAGATGCAAACCCCGCAAATCTTGGCCGTATCCAGATGGTCTTGGTCGCCTCCACATTCCGAATTTCCCCAGACTGGGGATGCGACGGAGTCCAAGCGTCCAATGAGAGTGTTGTGAGGCGCTATGAAGCCTGTCTGATTTGTCGACGGCGAGATGCCAGGCGTAACACACCGACGTGCCTTGCAAAGGCGTGTTGTTCAACGGTTCGACCGTGCGGTCTATTTAGATTGGAGGACTATGGCCGCAAACACCACTGTTGTTGGATACCGCTGATCGTTAGCATCGCATAATCATCTCCGCGGTTTTCTCACTCGGCTTGATTCATCAGATTGTTACTAATTCATCGCGATGACTTCTCTAAAGCAGGCGTTCAGCATCTCGAAAGAGGAGGTGAAGAATGCCCGACCGCCAGGAACTGCGACGCTCGTTGGTAAGATACCATCAAATCCCCTGAACGTCTTTCTTGCTAACGAAGCTACCATCAGAACATCTCGAATGGACAGCGTCGCAAACAAATCACGATGAAATCCGCCTCGTGCCTCAGCCATCCGCCGACCCAGCGGATCCTCTCAACCTGCCCATGTGGCGCAAGCTCGCAGTTCTGGCCGTCATGTCGATACATCCGTTCGTGGTAAACTTCACCAGTGCCTCCATCTCGAGTGCATTGCCCATCTACGCGTCCACGGGCGTGTTTGGCTTCCCGCCGAAGACGTTCTCGCAGTTGACGTATTTCATCGCGTGCAACATTCTCATGCTGGGCGCGTCGAACTTGTGGTGGGTGCCGCTGGCGAACACCTTTGGTCGCCGCCCGGTTGTGCTGGGCAGCTTGTTGCTCCTGATTTTCTCGAGTATGTGGGCTGGTCTTGCGACTAGCTTCAACAGTCTGGTGGCCGCGAGAATCTTTATGGGTATTGGTGGTGGGCCGGCTGATGCTGTTAGCCCGGATGTTGTTGGTGAGATATTCTTTGTCCATCAACGTGGACGTGCTCTGGTAAGTCTTCTTTTCCACATCTTTCGAGTAGACTGGCACTAACAGAACGTCCACAGGCCATATACACGGTCATGTTATCCTTCGGCTCCCTCGTAGGAGCCGTCGCGGGTGGCTATATCGTCGCAGACATGGGCCTTTCCTGGCTCCACTGGATGAACGTGCTCCTCTCCGCCATCACATTCGTCCTATGCCTCTTCTTCCAAGCCGAAACCCTCTACGACCGCAAATCCACCACCATCACTTTCTCCGACGATCCCGACAAGCAGACCGTTGAGACCAAAGAGCGAGTCGTCGTCGCAGATGCCGCTTCCCCGTCTTCTTACCCGTCTTACTCATACGCTAAGTCTCTTCGACTCTGGTCTTACCGCCCTGGCCTTGTGCAAAACTTCCTCGCTCCATACAAGACCCTCCGACTGCCAGGTGTGTGGCTAGTATCAGGGTGGTACGCCGGACTCGTTGGTCTCATCGTCACCATGTCGAGCGTGGGACCTCAACTCGTTGCCGCACCTCCATATCTCTGGGGAAAGAACGTCGGACTCATCAACATCGGCGGTATCTTCGGCGCTCTTCTCGGATGTGTAAGTTCCTATAACCCTGCCATCAGCGTTAGCGTTTACTAATACATTATTCTCAGGTCTACACCTACCTCATTGCCGACTTCGCAACCAAGCGTCTCGCAAAGAAAGATCTCCACGGCTTCTCGGAACCTGAATCCCGTCTCGTCACCGCACTGCCCGCACTCGCCCTCGCCACGATCGGCGCTCTTATCTTCGGTTTCGTAGCGCAGAATCCCTCGCCTACCGGGTGGGTTGGTCTGCAATTCGGTTTCGGACTCGTCGCTCTGGGTCTTATGCAAGCGCCATCCGTTGGTTTCAACTACCTGATTGAATCCTACGGAGTGCTGGCTGGAGACTGCTTTGTCGCTGTGACGTGTGTGCGTGCTATTATTAGTTTCGCGTGGACGTTCTTTGTCGGCGAGTGGGTTACGCATCAGGGTGCTGCGGAGCCGTTTGGTATCTTCGGTATGCTGATGGGTGTGTTTGGGTTGTTGACGATCCCCATGTTGATCTGGGGGAAGCGGTTGAGGATTTGGACTGCTAAGTGGGTTCCTGAAGGCGCAGGTTTGTAGTGAGAGAGATGCGGAGCTGGGGTAATTATTGCTGAGTAGCTCCGTTAGTGCTCACTGTATTACGTAGTGTACAATCTCGGATCAACGTCTTCATTGAGCGTGTCTTGTCTGATTTTCCTCGTGGTGTCCAAGTGCACCGTAATTCTAGCTCTTTCTCCTAAGTCTGCTGTCAGTGTTCTTGATGACCAGCGAGCATCGCGCTGCTATCTTCATAATTAGCGCATCACGACAATCACCCAACACGATAACCTAGCTCTCTGTAAGAATGCGCAATACCATTCAATCTATATTACACCCCACCTTCAAACAAAAGCCCACCTCCTCAAGCCTGCCCGCACACCAAAGAAAAGCGCCGAGCCAATACATGTCAAAATAGGAATACCGTACACACCCAAACCAATGAAGATACCCTGCTCAAAGTAACCAATCGCGATTGACTCAGCGCGCTTCTTCTCTTTAATCTCCTGCGTCGCTTTGCTAAGAAGCTCAGCTGCCGCCTTCTTCGAGTCCTTACCCGAAAGAACCTTTGACATTGTCGCTTGCGAAGCAGGTACTGCGATATATGCAGGCGAGATACGAGTGAAATGCTGAGCCGTGTATCGCTTCTCTACATCGACGGGCTGGAAAGACGGAGCAGCCGGGCCGAGAAGCAGACGGAAGGGGATGTTGTTCGTGAACGACGCGTCGGCGTTGACGAATTGTGAGAGGTACTTGCCCGTAGACGGGGTACCGAAGTGGTATGCAGCCAGCAGACTTTGCTGTGGGTCTAGGTCGTCCTCGACGAGGCTGATGGCATGTTCCAAAGATGTGATTGCTGAGACGCAGAAGACGGGCTGTGGGGACTTGGATGGTAGGGAGGAGAGGTTGGAGAGCTCGACGACGGCGCCGTTGTCGCCTTGTGTTATGGTGTTTAGCTTCCAGGACTTGCTGTCTGTGAGTGCTTGGAAGGTTTCTGCCACACGTGAAGACTTCTTGTGCTCTCTTGTGTTGGTTGAGCCGTTTGACACGCCACTGGATCCAGCCAGGAAGGGGAGGGAGTGTCGAAGAACATGCTCGAGGAACTCCTTCTTGATGAACTCGTTGACGAGGACGACGTCGGGGGCGTATGGTGATGTGCCACCAAATGCGAAGCGTGCTGTTACTAGTTGCTCGGCTGCTGATGCGAGATCTGCTGTGCGGTCCACAACTGCGACGACTTTGTTCCGTGGTGATACGAGTTGTGTGTATGTTGGCGAGCTGACTTGTGTCTCTTGGAATACTTGTAGACAGGCTGATAGTGAGTCTGAAGGAGGGTCGGAGGCGATGACAGCAAAGGTATCTGATTCGAGAGCTTCGGTAAGCAGCTTTCGGAGCAGAGAAGGGAGTGCGCGAAGGTTGTTTTCGAGCTGCAATATCGTTAGATGACGTTCCGGATTGAAGTCTGCAGCAAACTGACCTTCAGTGCTATGCAGCTGCCGGTTGCGAGACCAGCGCTCAAAGGTGCAATGACCGAGAGGAATGGCGTATGACTTCTTTGAGGCTCGATATACGCAACACCCCAAGGTTCTCTCTTATCACTAGCATCTTTGCCATTGGTGATTCTGTACTCGGCTTCCAGCTCTTTGGCCGCATCAACCGAGCCATAGTGCTCCTTGACCACATCCAGGGCAAGCGCAACCTCAGTAATTGCCTCTTCATCCGACACATGAGTATCTTGCTTCAGAGCATCTGCGATTGCATTGCTGTTGTTGCGCAACGCATCGTGCAGCGATTTGAGTTGTTTGAGACGGAAGAGAGCGTTGTGGCAGCGGGCAGTAAGCGCAGTCGCCTGCAGATTGGCCAGCGCAACTTCGGGGGTGATGGGCGACGACATTACGAATGGCAGGAACAGACTGAACAACAACAAAGATTTTTCAGAAGAAATGTCCTCCAGACTGCGATATGTAATGTAAGCTCTAGGAGGTGTACGGATATTCTGACACGGCAGTCAGCCCATTTGCGCCGGCAATGCTACCGACAGTACGCGGGCGCGATGAATCCCCCCACATCCCGACGATTGCGACCCCTGCCCCAGGCTTCTCCGCGTGTCTCCAACTTTCGGACCGCGAGGGACGCGTACTTCCATCTCACGTCGCTCGGGGTAGTAATATTGTTGATTGATACCATAGACGTCGTCGCCCAACTTTGTCCCACCAAGTCTGCTATCGCTGTCAACATGTCTGTAACAACCACCGCCAACCCGATCCACTACAACCTCGAGGCCACCCTCGCAGACTACGATCTCCATCACAGCGGGGAGCAAAGTGAAGGACTCGATACAAGCCTTAATGCGCATCCCGCACCGAATACTTCGTCAACGCAATCGCAGCAGAACCCTAGCGACTGGCCGACGGAACATCGCCGTGTGCCTGCGTACCGCCCG